AGGTTCGAGTCCTGCCAGGCTCAGTGTGTACTTCAACCCTACACCTCACTATGCGCTTCCTTCTCTCTCACCGCGGCCATCGTCGCTTCAGACTCTGCTTGAAGACAATGACGGCCGTGGTTGAGGACGGCGCCGTCAATCATGCTAGCCTGATCACAAGTGCCAAGGGCACCTGTAGTGTAGAGGCAACATANNAGCCTCCCATGCTTGTGCCCCGGGGGAGGTTTACTCCTTCGGTGTCTGCCTTGACCCTGTCGCAAACAAAAAATGATGCGCGCTACAGGGCCTCTCAGGCATTCCAAGCTAAGCTGAAGCCCTTACTTAGCTTATTTTTCCCTTGCCCCGTCTTGGAAACTGTCAAGATGAAGCCCTCCTAATTAGTCTGATTCAGTCAGTCCCTAGGATGCCAAATGCTCTGACGAATATACGGGGTTTCCCATAATTAGGGGAGTGTTTTTGGAGGTCCCTGAAATAGGGGTTATTGTTGGGCCTACATTGGGGTCCCTTTGTTTTGGGAAACTACCATAATCTCTCCAGGTTTGATTTCAGTCTCGTTGATTTCAGTCTCGTGACCGTCTATGCCACTTTAGGCAACGACAACTCTGATAATCATGAGTCATGACGCTAGGAATGCTCAACACCATTGGCAGCAACCACAATGACGAGCATGATGGAAAGACTAGTGTAATCCCCTAATATGTTGCCAGTTTCCGTTAAGTCTTCCACGTTGGTTTCAATTTGGTTCTCCCCTATCGGGCACGTGAACAGTTGTGGGAGTCAGGCTGGTCCTGCCCCTGATGCAGCGCTGAACGCCCTGCGAGCAGCACTCAGAGAGGCGAGCTCCAGAGTAGATGTAGACTAGGGGATTTAGGCTGGAGGGGAGATTTAGTGGATTTAGGGTTTTGGGTTTTGGGTGGATCTAGGGTTTAGGGGTGTGGGGTTTAGGGTACTGCCCCCACTCTTTAACAGTTGGATGATAATATTTGTAATGCAGTTATATATAGCCCCCAATATAAGCCTTAATATAGCGTGTTACAGGGTGGGGGCAGTACCAAGATGTAGATCTTGGTTGAGTCGTCCCACACGGGGTGTTTTGCAGGCTTTCTCGTGGTTCTGACTTTGCAAGTGAATGGCATGCCAAGCGTAGCGGTCCAAACACTCCTCTACTTTTCTCGGCAGGGTGGTCATCTGGGTTTCAGGAATCCTAAACGCTAAACGCTAAATTGGTAGTATCCATTTTAGTACATATCCCCAATGACCCTCTTCCTGCCTGTTCGGCTGAGAGATCATTTGCAAGCATTTGATTAGGCATACGCACATTTGAGGATTTATGATGCATTAAGCTGATGGGGAAACTCCATTTTTTGTTCAGCAAGCAACCCAGCATGCTGGAATCCAAGTATGCTAAGGAAGTTTGCGATTGCTTAATCAGGAAGGCACATGCACGCACAACACTCACGTCCAAATTTTCAATGCTCAGTATGCTGCTCAAATTTTGTAGACCAGGAAATCCACATGCTATCAGATACAGTGTTATCTCGACTGCTGTGATTCCAATCTCACCGTTTACCATTCTTGCAAAAGCAGAGGGAAGTTGGACGCCTGTCGAGTTGCATGATTCGGACACACTGCCTCTCAATTGAAGTTCAATGCAGCTTGAACCGAAGTAGTTCTGCTAAGTTGTGTGATTGTAGGGGCGCAGGAGCGTGTAAGCCAGGGCATGCAAGAACGTCGAAGGGAGAGAATGTGCTACACTCAGTGGTGTAACGTCGCATTGGCCAAGCTCAATGCTTATGCCACGCTTTCCAAACATAGATGGTTTCTTTTTGAAGCGAAGCAGCTCCTCTCCCCATTTTCAGATGTAACAGCCCGCGTGGTTCGCATTGAGCGCACCTGACGCAGGAGCAAGCTGCCGTGCAAGATGGGCTCCGTGTGATCCTTCGTTGCCTGGAGGATAGGGCCTCACAGATGGGGGTATCATCCTTGTCTGCCAGACGCAGTCGATGCCAATCGCACAAATGAGCCCAATTTAGATCCCAGCCCTTGACAAGCCTAGATAAGAGAGCTTACAAACCAGATCAAAACACCGTCGGACTATCTTGGGCGGCTTGCAACCTCTAACAGTCAGCCAACAGCAGATAGGCGTAGTGGCAGTTGGGTAGTGGTTCACCAGGAAACAGGGTCCCGCTTTAAATGCTCGTTACGCTGAGTGCTGCTTTAGACTGGACAATGGGCGACAGTTGAGTCCATATGCAACAGAAGCATCCAAGCATCGTTGCCCACAAAAGGCCATGTTGCAATTGGGAGGAGATTGTTTTCACCGGTCCGGGCTTAGGCAACCATGGCTCTGAAGGATCGACAACGTTAGATGGGATCGGGCATTTATCGGTATGCACCGGTGACAATCCAGGCTTGACGTTCTCCTGAGTGTTTGCTGGCGGCCCTTGTCTCATTCGTGAGGTTGGGGCGCGATGCGTCTTGCTATCAGATCGCAGGGACTTCTGCATTGGCATTCGTCGTTTTGTGAGGGAAAACGAGGCGCATCTGCACGCCGTGCATGCCATGTGAGTTGTTGGAGAAGCAGAGTGTGTTGGCTTCTTTGTGTCATCCAGAAGCGATATGACAGGATGTTGATGAAGATCTTGCTGTGGACTGGAGACATGACAAGGCCTCACCAAAGAACTCAGGATAATCTGAAGTAGTTGCCATGATTTGCGTTCCAAGGTGCAGTCGCTGTTCCCATTGAGCTGCTGTCCCACGCAGCAGTGGTGCGTAGCTGAGGCCCAACAAAGAGACTGTAGGGTATGGAGCCAGAAATCGGCGTAGCAGTAATTGAGCCATGTGACAATGCAGCCAGTTGTGCTCTCGCAGATTGCATCCTCATTGTATGGCCTGCATGGATGTTGAGATGCTGCAGTGATGGAGAGCACTCTGACTGAAGTTTTTGCCTGTTGGCCATTCATGGTCGGCATCCCCAAGTGCAAGCCCAAGAGGTCACCCACTCAGTGGTCGATCCAATGTCAGCTGTTGCAGCCCTGGCTGCCAAGGAGGTCGGGAGCGTGTTGCAAAGTGGAGATGTGGATGTGATTTGTATTTCGAAGTCGTATAGTAGCCTGCAATCTTCGTATCCGCTTGTTTTGACAGGTCTTCGTAATGGAGAAGCGGCTGCTTGGTCCTGAGGACATGTCTGGAAACACTCAGCCTTCGATCCTTCCGCCACACGATCCATGCAGGCGCAGGTCGCCATTGCGCAACTCTGTCCAAAGTCAGGCGCTCGGCGCAAGAGCACGGGCAGATGAGTTGGCAGATAGTTAGATCAACGGCGGGACCATGAGTTCAGTGTTTCACATGATCCTGCCGATCTCAATGGTGTTTGTTCACGCTGCAGAGTTGTTGCTCAAGGAGTAGTAGCATCATTCACCTGATAGGCTTGCGTCACATTTTCCGACCAGCATGACGCAGGTACAGCTTCCCTCTCAGGAGAAGGCGCCCCTCTCACCATCTCGTGCATCACGGCAGTCGAGCATGAGCCCTACGAAGAAGGCTGGGTTGCTGTTAAGGACCTTAGATTAAGTTACCCTAATGGGTATATATATAGTAAATAATAGGGTTCCCCCAATATAGTGCCTTAAACCCTAAACCCTAAACCCTATAGGGTTTCCCCCAACATAGTACCTTAATTTTAGGTTCCTTGCCCTACGAAAAAAGGTCAACGAGAAGGCTGCGGCCATCCGAAAGAGCTTCCAGCGGCCGAAGTTCTGGGTTTCCTGGGTTGCTGTTTATGGGAACTTCAGGGATATATAGGGTTTAGGGTTTAGGGTTTAGGGTTTAGGGTCACTATATTGGGGAAACCCTATTATTTACTATAGATATACCCATTAGGGTAACTTAAATTAAGTTCCTTAACAGCAACCCAGGTGATGGGCTTTGGCTGGTGCCTGGCTGCTTGTGCCGGTGCAGCCAACGTCATCGCCTTTAAGAACTGGGGGCTCTATGCGTCGCATGTGACAGGGAGCACGTCCGCCATGGCATTCCGCCTCGAGGGCTACCACACGGGCGAGTACGGCAGCGAGACTTTGAAGGAAGCCTTCTCTCTGGTCTTCTCGTTTCTGGTGGGGGCATATGCGTGTGGCCTCCTCATCGACAAGAACCAGGTGCACTTCATGGGAAAGGCGTTTTACGGACTGGCTCTCATCTTGAATTCTTCCTTGCTCATTGCGGCAGCCTTCACACCTGGCCGACTGGTGCCCGCATGCCTTGTGGCAGCCGCCTGCGGGCTGCAGAATGCCATGTGCACATCGCACTTCGGCGCCATCATCCGCACCACGCACGTCACCGGAACTGTCACAGACATTGGCTCCACTCTGGGCCGCATCAGCATGATCTTCTTGAGGAAGGCTTGCCGCTGTGCTCCCTTGAACGCCATTGACCGTGCAGAAATCGGCGTAGACGCGCGCAAGTTGGGGGTGCTGGCAGGGTTGTGGACTTTCTACTTGACGGGAGGTCTCATCGGGATCTACATGGAGAACATCATTCCAGGGCCGCAGGCCCTTCTGGTGCCGGCTTCCGTGACTGGCAGCATTGGGCTGTTCTACATGGCCTGCCGTCAGCTTCTCAAGGAATTTATCAAAAAGTTGGAGCAGGATCGCTTCGCCGCAGACCTCAAAGAGGCACAGGACGCTCTTGCCCACATGAACGACCGTCTCCATGACATTACGGCTGGCCCTGGCGATGACAAGCTGGTTCTTCGATCCCTCTCTTAACAATTTTGTTTTTGAAGGCCGTGAGGTTGGCAAGGTTGGTTTTCTTTGCGGCAGCAACTGACTTGGAGTCAGGGGGAGTCTGGTGTTGAGGCTTTGGATCTTTGGGCCACTATAGTTTTTTCCTTTCCATTTTTGGCATCAGCAGGTTGTCGATTTGGACGAAGAGATGGGTCACATGATCGAGGCTTTGCACGAAGTCGAGGCCCACTCATTTACAATCATGAAATGGAAAAGCCACCGGCAGCACCGGTCTGTTTGATGGTTGTTTCAGGTCGACTTCGACAATGTCTACTACCACCCTGAGCGACAGGCCTCGGTGTTCAGTGGATAGGTAGCTCATAACTTTCCGAGAACGACTGAACTGTCTTGGGCCGCATCTTCTCATTTTCATATTGTCTCAAACGCCTCTGGAAGCGTTCACGCAGTATGGTGTCTGCCCTGCAGATACCTGGCATTACCCGGCTCAACAGGCTTTGGGGTGCAACTAGCAAGCTCTTCTTATCCAAATGGCGAGGTGAGCAAAAGCAGCAAGGCCACCAGCACGGCAACTCCTGCCGTGTGAGGCCACGATTTGAAAGGTTTTGAGGCGCGAGGGTTTGTGCGGACACAACTGCAGTTGTGACTGACATCCTGTTTTCGATTTCATGGCCTGTTGTGGCTGGGAATTGCGTTGATTTCACATGGTATAGACCCAAATATACTATAGTCCTTATTATGGGGACCCCCAAAAAGGTACCCATAATTTGGGAAACCCCCGTATCACAGGGGTGTCTGCAAGCAGCAACTTTGGAACTTCCTCCCATCCATGCAGGACAGGCAGCAGCTGGAAGTGGCTCCTGCGACCATTGCAAGAGCAAGCGCTGAACCACTCGGCATAGCCAGCTGCGCCATCGTCTAGAATTCAGTCGTGCAATTTGCAGCGAAACTCGCTTAAGAATTCTTCAGAGCCTAGGAGGTACGAATCCTTCAAAAGAACTCTTTCCGAAGACTTGCTTTGGGCAGTTATTTTCACGGAGAGCATTGACTGTGCCTCATGGCGAGAGTTCTTGTTGGCATGTAAAGACGAGCATGGCAGGCAGTGGAAGAGGCTGCCTTTCAAAGCAAGCGCTCAAGTTAAAGCAGGGCGTATGTATTGCTTGACAGTATAGTTGCGGGCTCGCTCACTGGGCCCAGAGACTAAGTCTACCGGCCACCAGTGAGCACCTCATACCTTTCCAGCAAGCGGGGGCTAGTCCCACGCTCACTGGGCAGAATTGCATTCAAAAGTTGGGCTGGTGTTCATGCTTCCTGACATGAAACAATTTTGCTGTTCTGAAGATATGGAGCGCACTCCTCGAATGCAGTTGTAGATGGCAGAAGCTCGCTTCTCTCCTTGTTGATTTTCAGGTTCTATCGTCAGCTCAAGCCTTCTATCTGACTACCACATAGCCAAATAGCTGCAATTTTCCCGACCCGTTCGTGTGTCTCGAGGGTCGTTTGCACGTGCCTCCAACCCCACTACATCCTTCTTGCAGGGTCAGCAGCCAACAAGTTGACGCCTCTCATGCTGCTAAGGTCCGCTCTTCCAGCAGCCTTCTGTCAAATCAGTGCAGTTCGGTGTGCATGTGGCGGAAAATGGAGAAAAGCAGTTTACCTTTGGCGAAGCTGTCCGTGTCATGTCAGCCGTTCTGTTTCCTCATAATGTCATACCATATAAGAGGTCTCAGATGCATGTGGGGTCTTGCAAAAACACTTGCATCTGACGCCTGGCTTACCAATTAAGAAGCTACTTTTTGATTGTCGTGCCATCATTTTGTAACTATCAGTGCGAATTTGCAGCGTATTCCCCAAGCTAGATATCATTTTCTCTTGGCGGCAGCTGCCTTTGCAGCTTGGTCTTGTGATTCCGGTGTGTTTTTGACGCTGGCCAGTCCGCCGACCTATGCACATCTCAAGCTCAGAGCGTCAGGGTTTTTGAACATCGGGGTTGAAATCAAAATGATGGCATATGCTCGGCTGTCTTTTGTGAGTGGGGGTTTGATACCTACATTTTACCAATTCCTGCGTAGCCTTACCTACATTTTACCAATTCCTGCGTAGCCTTGAGCCACACAGAGCATCTTTGTGATGGATAGTGACTTTTGCACAAGGCAATCTCATATGTAATGTAGCCCCATGGTGAACAAATATCCTCCTTCTAATGGCCTTAATATTAAGATCTCTATTGTAATCCCCATTAAGGGGAGGGGGTTTATTGCTTAGGGGTCTACATTACCCTATTATGTACTAGAATATATTACAATATACTATAACAGATTATAATATCTATGAAAATATGCCATAATATGCCATACTATACTAAAATGTCCTGTTAAGGGGAAGGGGTTTACTAATTAGGAGTCTACATGCTACACCAGGAGAGACGGCTCCTGCAGCTCTAGGGCAGGTAGCGTATCACAGGTAGCGCCGCTGCATCTACTGAAACCACATGAGCTACAGTGTAAACTCCTCCAAGGGCGTTATATAGGGGATTATAGAAGAGAGTATTATAGGGGTTACTACGGGAAGACTAGGAGTGTAGACTATAGCTCACTGTTATCGATTCCTCCTCTTGCTGTTGCTCCTGCTCCTGCTGCTAAGCCTACTCCCATTGGCACTCCTCGTCCTATTGTGGATGCTACCTTATCATACCCCAGTATTTATGGAATTGCAGGGATCCGAAGTGGTGCAAGGTTTCCTCCACGCACCATACCAGTACAGCATTGATTGCATTGATATAGCGTGCTTGTTTTCATAGACAGCCAGCTTGAGCATACTTTGAGACTCTAGTTCTCAAAGCTTTCGTGAAGTTTTGCATAGATCCTGGCAGTCTTTACATGGGAAGCTCCGAGCCTAGTTTATTCTAGATTAGGTTTTAGGGTTGACTAACGAACAAAAATTGTGTTTGGTCTGATTGGGTTCCCTCATCAGCGTATGTCTGTAGTACTAGCAACATCTAGCAACAGTATGCATAGAAGCAATAGTAATGGCAATAGCAGCAACCAAAGGAGCAACAGCAGTAGCAGTGGTAATAGCAGTTGCGATAGCAGTGGTGGTGGTGTAGCAGAAGTATAGCAAAGGTACTGGTCCTGGTACTGGTACTAGTACTAGTACTAGTACTAGCAATCGCAATAGTAATCGTAATAGTAATCCATAGAAGCTTGGAGCGGAGGGGGATCAGTCGTCCAGCAGAGCTTCATCAATGACCTACCGAATGGTTGCCGCTCCAAGTGGAGTGCCCGGACACTTGGGCGTAAACCCGTACGTACCAGGGTTCACAGAATTTCCGGGTTGCACAGGGGTTCGAATCTATAATGGAGAATCAAATTGAGGGGAACCTGGAAAATGACATGGAAACTTCTCAGGAATTGCGCTGCCCCAAGGGCGGCCAGTTGCGCCTCGCTTTGATCGACTGTTAGCTGCTGCTGCTACTACTACTTCTACTACTACTACTACTACTACTATTACTAGTATTGCTACTATTACTGTTACTATGACTAGTACTATTATTATTTCTACTGCTACAATCACTATTACTGTTACTGTTACTGTTACTGCGCTCCTTCTCCATCTCCCACGCTCTGTTTTCCTGCGGGGAGCTTCTTCCTTGCCTCGCAGGTTTTGTGTGCTTGAAGATGAATTTGGTTGGCCATGGTTGGCCACTACCCAGCAGAATTGACGAATTCGCCTCATTTCGACACATTTTGGCTCAGACCATCATGTACTGATACGAGGCCCCGGCACTCGAGTTCTGGACTGTCTGCGGATTCGATCTTGGCATAGGACTGCATTCTATCTTGAAGCACTGTAGCATGCTAGGAGCTAGAACGCAACATTTTCTTGTGCAGAGACTCCGGGACTCCGTGAGCCTTGTTGCATCAAGCAACTCTGGGGCATCTCCAACTGCGTTGGAGCTTGAGCTCATCCACGCCTCTGGCGTAAGCCAGCATCAGGCTTGGACGGAAGTTCCACAGGTCTCTTCTGTAGATTTTTTTGAGTGGAGCTTTGGAGGTTCAAGATTATGCGAACCGACAGCGATCCAGTTTCGATGATCTCTGTGATGGCTGCCTGCAGGTTCGAACAGATTGTTGTTGTGGCTGCCCGACCCTTGGTCTCTGTGGGTCTTGGGAAGATTAGTAGTCCTGAAATTTACTGAGGCTTGAACGAGCACGAATATGGCTTTTGCAGCTGACAGTCCAGCAAGTGGTCTGAAAAAGGCACAGCTATCCTTAGAGGAGACAATGTGTGTGGGCTGACATGCTCTAGTAGGCAGCTCTCGGACTTGAAGCACTCAGCTGCAATTGGAGTAGCACGGTCATCTTGTCGGTCATGCAGCTTGTGGATGCTTGTGTGCTGGCGGCATGCAAATTGCATAGCAGAGAGAGATAGAGAGAGAGAGAGAGAGCGGGGAAAGCTTGGGGCAATGCCCCAGCCCTTCCCTCCGGGGGAGGGTATAGCAGTGAGAAGAGGAAGAAGAAGAGAGCGGGGGAAAAAAAGTCGGAACACGCACAACACTGCAGCTAAAATTGTCGCAGGCTATGCCTGCATTGAGCGGCGAATGCTTGAAGGACTTTTGCCATGTCAGTATGCTTTAGGGAAGGGCTGCAGCCAGCACAAGTCTCAAACGCAAGCATCCGCCAGGACACTGGACCCAATGGGTGGCGCAAGCCGGCAGTGAAAGAAGACGGGCAGTGGTCTCAGCTGTTTGTTTTGCATGATGCAGCAGACTGGTTCAGATTCAGGTCAGTGAGCAACAGCAGCAGCACGACTACGGGCTGCGAGCCTTCAGTATGTGAGGAGAGCGAGGCCTCAGACCGCGTGCAACAGCTCCTTGTCATAGCCACACTTTTTTTTTTCTGGGGAGGCTACAAAGGTGGCCCGAGACGGCAGTGGCAGCAGCTCGGGTTCACGTACAGAGACAGTGAAGGCGACATCTTGCATGGGATTTGATTTGGGGCAGGCTTCGTGCGCTTTGATCATCACTGAGTCGTGTGACGGTGCATTCCAGGCCTACAAGGAGTCGACGCAGGACGAGAGCAGCAGCTCAGCCTCGCGAAGTGAGCAGGCACAGGCCGCCAAACCAGACAGGGTCGGGCTCGAAATGTTCAGCAGAGATACTAACGAAGTTGTTCCTTGGTCACTAGGCACATTGCATATGTCATGCGCTGAGAAACAAGTATTCCGCAAAGAATTTGTGACAGGATGTGCAAGATGGCGATCCCCCGAAGCAGCTGAACTCTTTGAAAACCGCGTGGTGCTTTGATTGCTGGCAATTCGACGAGCATTGGCTTTCTGCAGCTTTCCCCAGCTAAGGCCGGGCCAATGGAGTCTGTGGGCAGCAGGCTTCCAAGAATCTTGAGGAAAGATGGTCCTGAGTTGATCACACAGCTTGCACAGGAAGATTCTGCAAAGCCAAATAGTAGTAGTAATAATAGTAATGGTAGAAATAATAATCTAGTACTAGTAGTCATAACTTTTGTGAATGCCTAGGTGTCGGACATCCGAACAACTGCAAGGCACATGGGCTTTTTGTAACCGACTGTTCTGATCCAGGATGATGCCTCATCACCGCTGAGCCGAATATCAGGTAAGCTAGTCCTAATGTAATTTTGTATGATTTTCCTAAATGCCATGCCATTCAGAACTTCACCTTTCCGTCTGGAGCGTGGTCAACTTGCCTGATCTGATGCAGATTTCTGGTCCCTGCATCGCGTGCCACCCCGGCTCAGGCTGTCTTAAGAGGCTGATAGGGGCCAAGCAGCAAGAGTGCAAGCCAAGAAGCAGCGACAGTCCACTGACATCTAGACGACATCGACGTGCTGTAGCCTGCCCCAAATGTGTTGCACGAGTTCTAAAGAAGTTTTCTAGCTTGTTGACTGCATCCCTATTGTACATCTCACAGCCAGGATGTCAATCAACCAGCATGAGCTTCAGCAGCATTCCACAAGCAGTGTCTTTTCTCAAGTAGCTAGTTGAGTCTGCACTGGCATGGCGATGTAGTGTATGCATCTGGCAGGCAGGGGCGGTTCATTTTTGAGAAGCCCTACAAAACGAACTGGGTAGATCCATCCAGTGCCCATCAAGTCATCGCCGCAAAAAATAATCTCAGCAATTTACATGCTAGTCGCATCTCTACAGGGGACAACTGACGTGGCTGCGCAGGGTGTTGAAATGACGGCCCGACAGTGCCGACCTCAGGAAACATGCGTGCACATGTGAGTGGTGGCTGCGCGGTTACTTCAAAGTGCATTGTGCGCCCAGCAACTGCTGCTGCTGCTGCGAAGATTCAACTGGGCTCGCAAGAATTTTGACCTTCATGTCCTATGGCAAGGTCGTCGTACCTCCCACCGTCTGCGGCCTCCCAGACAGTGGGTCTGCGCCTGAGCCGGTGAAGTGGTAGTTTCCCAGAATAGGAGACACCAATATCTACCCCAAAATATATGTGTCCTCATTCTTGGGACCCCCAAGATGGTACCCCTAATTCTGGAAAACCCCCAAATGGGCTATGGAGCTTTGCCTTCCTTTCAGTCATTCTCAGACCGCTTGTGTTTCGTTCGATGGCTCGGAGGTGCTGCGCGGGTTGCGGGTGCTGCCACCGCACTGGTGCGCCGACTCGCCATGCAGCACCGGTATTGTCACCCTTATGGGAATATGGGGGGGTAATATAGGGATAATGGGGTTATATAGGGATAATGGAAAAAATGGAAACTACATATAGTATATTGGGGTTATATTTACAGACCCTAGTATCTTGAGTTGCAGTGCAAAATGGGCTGTCCGCAGTGCTACATGGACATATACTTTGACCGTGCCACCGTGCCAGCGCCTCCTGGAGTGCAATCCGGACTCGCTCTTGTCTCGCCCACTTGGAGGCAAGTTGCTGTTGCTTTCGGATAAGTGCAGTAGTCACTTAGGTATGCAGGCGTTCTTTTCACGAAGCCCCTCTCAGTTCAACAAGAGTGTGTCTTGCAGCGCAGGGCGGGTTTCAGCCGCCAAGCTGGCAAGATTGCAGTACCAAGAGCATCTGGAAGCCAAGGCCTTTTGTGGGTTAAGGGGTTGAGGTTTGGGACTGTTGCTTTGAATCTAGGGCATTGGGAGGGGTTTCCAGTCAACCCTATGGTCTGAAGGCGGGACAAGCGCACGGCGATCTCCTCGACTTTGCCGGGCTCCTTTTGCAGCAGTTTGCATGCGAGACGGCCTCAAACCTATACATACACCTAGGAGGATGGCTCTGGGGGCTCAGTGCCTTCAACATCTTCGCAGGCTTTGGTGCTCAGCTGTCAGGGGCGTGGCATGATCTTCGCATATGCTAGATGTCTAAGGCGCCAGCCCCGTCTGGAAACGACAACGAAACGCTGCCGGCAACTTGCTCAGAGATGACTCCATTGTAGTCTGGGCAGCAAGCTGCAGCACAACGATGCCTTCACTTGAAACGGCCTCGCAACAGCAGAAGAGATGGGTTGACCCTCGCTTGCTGTTCTGTTTGTGAGCTGCTCTGAGTGCCGTTGGTTATAAGATCCTTTCAGATGTTTCGCCAATCTTAAGCAACATCGCTCATGCAGGGCTTCGTGCCGGAAACGCTCTGGGCAGGCGACACAGTGCTCGCGCGGTGCGCCAGCCTTTTGCCTGGGTAGGAGGAAGGTGGGTTCTCAGTTGCAGTGCCCGTGCCAGGTACGGCCCAAACGGGCGGTTTTTCCGAGCGCGGGTGGCAGGGCCCCCCAGCATTTGGCAGGAAGCATAGGTGCTCCGTGGCTTGGTGCAAAAACTGAAAGGTTCGAGTCTACAGTAGCCGGGGAAGCTCCTTGGCAGACGTGGAGTGGTTGAGACCACAGGCCGCCTTTCTCTCCGCGTTTTGGCTGGAGTGGTCGTGTTTACCCAGAGCTGTGCTTGCCGGCCCTGCCAGCCCTGCCTGCCTTGCTGCAGGATGGCCGAAACACTGAGGAGTTCCTCAGCGCCTTGAATTGATTTGAAGGCAGTAGGTCGCTCTTTCAAAGGCTGAAAAGGCCCGTCTCAAAGAATATCGCGTGAACATGCGCAAGCTCGCCTGCCTCACAAACCTGAGGTCCCTTGCAGGACGAGCTTCTGCATCGAAACGGCTTGCAGGCATTAGAACAGAAGCTCAAGGTGTAGTCTTCAAAGGATGGTCTACAGCTTTGTGAACAGTCTTCGCTGCTTCCCTAAAGTTTCCAGCTTGCGCATTCCCTCTGCCTCTTGCCGCGAGGTAGGAACAGAGGTTCGGCTGGTTGAGAGCCGTGGATCTGGATCTGATGGGGCCCAAGACAGACTGCCTGCTAAGTATTTTGCAAGTCTCCCACGCAATCAGCTTGGCTTGTGGGCCCAGGCGGCAAGTTCAGCGGTGTCGGCAGCTTATGCACTGCAATATGGTAGTTTCCCAAGATAGGGGGACCCCAACTTGGACCCCAATATACTACAATCCTTCGTATGGGGACCTCCAAAAGGGTACCCCTAATTTTGGGAAAGCCCAAAATGAAGCAGATTCACACCTTTGCAGCACTTGTGGTTAGCGTGCGGTGGATTGCTGCCAGGCCCAAAGAGATCCGGCAAGCCAAAACAGAGGCCTTCCATTAAGGGATTATAGGGATTTTTTCAGGGGGTGATAGGGATAAAAGGTGTATATCTACATATGAGCGACGACCCAAAGTTCTGTTCAAGCAACCAAGGCTACGGAGGAAGGTATTTTTTTATGGGGAGCAGCCGTTCTAAGGGAAGCGAGATAGGGGCCGGAGTTAAAGCGAGATCCAGGTATTTCATAAGTAAAAGATGAAAGCTTTGTTGCACAATGACAGTTAAGCGAGACCCCCCCCTTAATTCAGAAAAAACCAAGCCATGGCATTTATGAGTATTTTGTAAGTAAGGGAGATCAGGGGCCGGAGATAGCAAATAGTTTCCCTTGCCCACACAAGAACTTTCGTCCGCTGCTCATATATGTTATAGTGCATATATATAGATAGATAGATAGATAGGGGTTATATAGGGATAGTGGAAAAGAAAATGGACACCACGACACAGACATTTAGAGGTGCCGCCTGCCATGCCCGACCTGCTGGACTTCTCTCCCCTTGGTGAGGCATCTGCCACAAAGCGCGTGAGAAGATGTGAGGGGTCCCAAATGGAGAATCAAATGGACAAGAACATGGAACATGAAATGGAAACTGCGATTATATAGGGGTTTAAGGGGTTTTAGGATAGTTCCCAAAATTGGGGTCCCATTCTGTTACCCCTTAAGATGAGCTGCCGTAATATGATTCACAACCAAAAGGGGCCCATAATATTGAGAATAACCCCAATAAACCTTGTAGAACCCGGTATAACCCTAGTATAAATTCTATATGAATTATATACACTCTGTATACCCAGTAGCTTTTGAACATGCTTCGTTTTTGTGAGGCGGCTCCCTTGGGTTCAGATCTTCTAGCTCCGGCAGGCCAGGCTTCTCCTGTGATTGAGGGTTTAGGGTTTAGGGGCTTAGGGGTTCAGGGTTCAGGGTTTAGGGTTCAGGGTGGTGTGTTTTTAGGTACCATTATATGGGGATTATATGGGGATTATTGCAGGGATCCACTCCCCCACTCTCCCTGAAGCACCAGCGCCTTCTGTGAAATCAACTTGCCTGAAAGAGGGAGATGGAGTTTGTTCAGGAACTTTCCCGAGAATGAATCGCGTGTTGAGCTTACAACTACCTAAACCCTAGATAGTAGTTCCATTTTGTTTTCCATTATCCCTATATAACCCTTATAACCCCTATATCTACTTAAAGAGGACTATAACATATTCTATCTACTTAAGGAGGAATATAATGTACCCCATATTCTATCCCCAATTGCTTCAGGTGCTTCGCCTGCTTCGTCTGCTTCGCCTGCCATGCCGAGACTGGACTTCTCAGGCTTTTGCAGAGATGTTGTCTGATGTGCTGTTCAAACGTGTTCTGTCCTACATTGAGGTGGGCAGGCAGAGGTGCCAAGGCAAGCCATAGATATTTCTTGCAAGCAGCACGGGTAGCATCCTCGAGCATGGACAGGCCGCCGCTGATGAGTGGATATGGCGATGCCAGGATGCAGGCCGAAGTTGATGTTCGATTGCGTGCTACTATTGAAGCGGCAATGTTGGACTGCGTATCGGGAGGCACCTGCTGTAGCGGACACCCGCAAACCTCAGGCCTTGCGCCTTGACATGCTCTGGAAGCAACAGCGTCTCCGAATGTCTCCGATGTCATGCTATGGAAGCTCTAGCTTTGTATCAAGCTCTTCAAGTAGCTGCTGGTAACCTCAGGTAGACGTTCGGATGCTATCTCTCATCAAGCAGTCAGCCTCATATTTAGCTTCAGTGGCCTCTTTCTTTTAAAGTTTCTTTCAGTAGTTCAGCCATTGTTTGCCCCGTCACAGTCCACTTTGAGCAGCAGGAAAGCTTCGACTTCGTCTCTGACTTGATCTTTCAGGCCTTTCCTTGTGACGTTGCATCAGAAGCCTGATGTCCCGGTCCAAGCCTTGCTATAGAGGCATCAGATGCGCATTCGCCTGCGCAGCATGTGGATCGCTGAGCCTCCGGACTTGCAGTCAGAATCTGACTGTAAAGGTTAAAGCCTGTTGAATGCTGGAGACCCGAAGTCCACGTGCAATAAGAGCCCAAAATTAGTCACAACCTTTCAGACAGCCAAACGTGCACACTTCAGTGGACTCTGCCTCTGCGCAGAGTTTAGAAGAATGTACACCTGTGAAATATTGATGGTCACTGTACATTTCCACCCTCGCACATGAACTACGAAATCCGGGCTTTTGCTGTTCTTTTGCCAGGGCGTCGAAGACCCCCCGTTCACATACTTCAAGTAGCTGAGCAGTCTTTGGCTGCATCCACTAGTCGCAATGGCAGCTGCGGCCGGCGACAGCTCGCGGACAAATAAGGGCGTGTTGTGCGGAAGTGTTGTGCGCGCCGAAGCTAAAGGTTGCTCTTTCGAATGATACGTTTCCTATCCCACGATGAAGGATGTGATAAAGTATCGTATTGTCACGTCTGATAACGATTAGTGCGCTTGTCCCTGCGTGCTGTTTTGCCAGAGGCACACGAGTCACCATAGCATGTGAGAGTTTTTCGCCTTGCCAGCCCTGCGCTTTCTACTGCTTCTCCCTATGCGGCTGCCGCATGGATCGCGAGTTGCTGCCTCGGAAGGAACAGAAGTATGCAATGATGGTAGCCTTGGAGGAAGTGAAACTACCCGTAATGCAGAACAAATTAAACAATGATAGGGATTGTAAACTGATATGTAAGTGCTATGATTTTAAAAAGGGCACAGAGATTTTCCCCCAATACAGAATCAGTCGGAAAAGACGAGTTAAATGAAATTGAAACTGCGCTGATGCAGACATTTAGGGCAGAGTAGCGCAGCAAAGAGGCACCTTTGGTTGTTGCATGCCATGTGTCAATGACTGCTCAGTTGCGCCTACTGCCACCTCTTCCACCAGTCCCGTTTGAAGCAGCGCCGGGAGGATGGAAGCTTTGGTGCTGAGAGCCACGCTGTTAGGTTTTAGAGTTGTCAGAAGTTTAGGGTTGAGGGTTTGCCGAAGCCACATGCAGGGTGGCAGGGCCGTACCAGGTGCAAGTGGTCTGATGTCTGAGGAGAATTTACATCTATGGGAGCAAGGCTTTGCAACATGGGAGAGCTTTCCATGTGCGTGGCAATCCAGAACAGAGCAATCCAGCTCAAGCCTGTGCACGCTCCAGCAGACCTACTCAGCTAATCAGCTTGTTGGAGACAAGGCACGCCCATGCGGTACCTTGTACTACAGGAACCAAAGGCATTAATCAATTGGCCTCGCTGCCCAAAGCGCCATGGCACGCCCCTCTGAGAAGCAGGGTCAGGACCCAAGACGTAGACCTGCAAAGATAGCTAAGAAGTGACCGGTGCAGCTGACAACGAGGCTATCCATCACCGGTTGCCCCAACCCCAGAGCAAGCCAGAGGAAATAGGTCGCAGGTCCAGAGCAGGGATGTATGCTTGATAGTGATGGCAGCTGTAGTACAGCACTCTTGTTCCTGGTGAGGGCAGTGGGTGCTGATAAACAATGGACGTTGATGAAGAAGAAGACAATGAAGACAACGCCCACGATGATCATGATTATGGTTATGCAAAGTTGCAGCCGACAAGTGGAATGATGGAACAAACAAGCCCTAGCAAACCAAAAGAATCAACGACTCCTGACCGCGCCAGCATGCTAGGTCTTGCTGTAACTGGAGTTCTGCAGTTCGTGAGTTTTGGCTAGCATGTGATTTCTCTTTCTTCCTTTTGGGCTGCTGCTGCCGCTGCTGCCGCTGCTGCCGGGGTGTGGCTGCTGGCGTGCAAGCACTCACATGCTAGCTTCTCGGAGACTTGCTTTCGCACCATGAGAAAATTCTTGACTGGCCATGCTGTTTGTTGATGATGTGGTTGTCATCAGGATTAACTAGCTAGCGCTGAGTTGTATCCCAGCAAATCCACGTTGCATGGGGGCAGGTTCAGCAACCTTGCCGGGCCGGTTGACCTGCCGAGGATGCAAATGGCTCTCCCGCACAGCGACAGACTTTTGCTGTCTGAGCCACGGCTTTGAGACCTGCACTTCTTGCTGTTTTCGGCAAGCAAGCGTGCTGCCCGACGAGGCCTCCCCGCGGCCAGCTTCTGGGTCCAGCTCGGGGAGGCCCCTTTGAGAAAGCTGTGTTTGTGGGGCCTAGTTCTAGTCCAGACCTCTCCCCTATTGCCACGGGCAGAAGCCGGCAATCCACAACTGCAAAGTGTTCTACCGTAATTTGCGAATGGATGAACGAGCGATTCATGATCCGCATCATC